TATGTTTCTGAAGCCATTCCAAGAACAAAATGTTGTTGGAGGTACAACTCATGTCGTTGGTACAATGATTCTTTTTTTTGAGTGTGGAGGATGCTCGTCTATCGACGTCTAGGAATTTTAATTTCAACTTAGCGGTTGTTTTGGAAATTTTTCAAGAATTTATTTTCTAAACGTTTGAAATCTTTCCTCAAAAGTTTTACTTTTCCCCAAAATTTCTGGAAATATTTTAATTTTTAGATAGTCTCCTAAAGACTGTCTCTACCCGAAAGAAAATTCCCCCCCCCTTCCCCTCCCTCTTCATATATTTTCATCTGAAAAGTTTCCAACGTTTCCGGAAAAATTTTGGACTTTACGAATTCCCATGCTCGTCAAGTCCCCGATCTTGGACACGCGTTGGATGGCGTGACCGTGCGGGCTTTCTCCAGTAGGGCTCCAGCCGACCTCGGCCATGCCTGGAATTTCCGCGCCGCTTCCTATCCGAGGTTTTCCGAGAAGCTCTCCTTCATCCCGCGCTGAGTCACGAGAGCGCACATCACATCACTCGCGCTCCAGCTGCTCCAGTGGTCTGCCAGAGGTCCATCGTTTGCCCTGATCCTGCCTGAACTGCGGATTGTACTTTTGTATTTCGCGGCTTTTGATCTCAGTACTACACAGGACTGTAAACTTGTAAAGTGTTTGAAGTTGCCATGATATAGTATCCCGGACAGTAACATATTTTGTGGAGGTTTGATAACTTGAGTATGGACGTCTAAAAATAATCAGCAATCTTTATCAAAACTGGGACGGAAACCAGCAATCTGTATCGGAACTGGAACGGAAACCGGCAATCTTTATCAAAACGGGAAACCTTCAGGTAGGGGATGGCCACAAATAAAGGGACTGAAAACCCCGAACTAAAATAATTAGCCGCGCGAGAGAAAATTTCTAAATGACGGAACATACTTTTGCGCACGTGTCGCACCTTGTGGGTAGCTCTCCATGACTGCGCTGAGAGACAACACGTGCGAGGAGTACACTTTGGAGGCGCGGCGTGGCGCGGCGTAGCGTGGGGGTCGAGGCGGCTGGCCCGCGGCCACCGCGGCGCCCGCCCCGCCGCCCCGCCCCGCCCCGGCTATTTATACCGCCCGCGCTGTGCACAGGTAGGCCGGGGCCTCTGGCTGGGGCCGTCGGACTGTCTGCCCCGCGGCTGCACATGAGACGGAGCCGATACTATGACCCAGGTCAGTGCTTAGGCACACGACGGGGCGCCACGCGTGAGAGGGGGTACAAATATCACGGGGCCGTGAGGGGGGTTACAAAATGATAAGGACCACCATTGCAGTCCCGATGATCCCGTAATATTTTGCGCACGGGGGACACATATCGTGGTAGGTTCCCAAAATGATCATGACCGCCCCATTGGGGTCCCTCCTATGGTCCGATAATATTTGCACCCAGGGTGCACAGATCTTGGGTTTGGTGTATTTGAACCCCGAGGTATACCGGTTGTAACTGAGAATGC